TTGCAGAAGCAGAATTCTTTATTGTTTCTATTTAGTGTGAAATACACCTTAGTTCTTTCTATATATGATCACCTTTGCCAGTTTCAACACTTGGAATGAGTTTAAAGGGAAGACCTTTGTTTTTGTTATGCGAGCACTTACGATTCAACATGTCTCTCAAATACTGTCAAATGAGTTTGTGTAAACTGAATTTAAGAGAAAGTACTTTATAAGTAGACTATAGATTGGTGTAGCTATGACGTTTCCATGGCAACATGGCCTGTAGATGGCAATATTGCTGGCTGTTCAGCAGAAGTTAGGAAGGAGTTTTTAACACTTAAATTGGACACTTTTCCCATGTGTTGCTTAAAAACATCATTTTAAAATTCAGTAGCAATGATGGACTGGCATCCCATCCAGGGTGTACCCTGCCCTGCATCTGTTGGGATAGGCTCTGGCTCTCCTGCAACCCTTAATGGGAAGATAGGGAGGGTAAGATTGGCATTAGTCAGTCAAGGATCTCTGAGCCCTGTGAATGCCCAGGCATGAGATGTGGAGGGCAAGGAACATGCCTCTCCTTCAGTCAGTGATGAAGCCCTGATTCGAGATTGTGGTGCGCGAAGAGTCATGCTAAAATGTGAGACTAAGGGGAATCTGCCACTCCTCCTCATTTTCCCCGTTTGTGGCTGTAGGTTTGTAGTCGTGAGCCAAGACACAAAACCAGACCATTTGCAACTCCACATTGGGTGGGCAAGAAACAAAAATACTTGGAAAATATTGTAAAAAAATCCTTTCCTGTCTGAAAGCGCCTCAGTGAACACGTAGTTATAGGGTGACTATACATTATTGTGAGATTGGCCTGAGAAGAGGGCATTTCCAGATTACAGGGCAGGAGAGATTGAGAGCCCTCTGTGTGGTACAGGGAAAGGCCAATGAGTTCTTCTAGGATTTAACGATACACATTCTTGACTGTCTTCCAGTCCCACACACAATACAATCTGTGCTCAAATTATAATTATTTCCTGCTGTTATCAACTTCACAAAGAGATTTTTTTTTCAAGGCAGAGAACTGTGTGTAGTACATTTGCAGTAAAGAACAGCAATTACTTTAGGTGAGGTACAGTACATACAGTGTCATTTGGAGCTCTTAGTCCATAGTATGAAGTAAAAATAGGATGGGAATCACGCAGTTGAGAAATGTAGGCTATATTACCGTTGAACACTGGCAGTTATTAAGTTTTTCTCTGGTACACATGCTGGCTCATTATTTTTCAGTGTGTTAAGTGAGTTAATTTAAACTCTGGATTTAAAACAAATGTTACCTGTAGGGCTTCCTTTTGACTGAGTGTAAAAACAGAATAATACATTTCTATTTACCAGTACATTTCCATAAGAAAAGAACAATGTCACAGCTATTTTAACGGAAAGGCTTTAACTAGGTCTAAACTGCCAGTTCCTTAATATGGAATTAGTAGAAGAAGCAGAACGTGTCAAGCCTTGGTGTGCTATCTCCAAATCTGAGCCTTTCTTCAGTCATTTTAGCAGGCTGGGCCCAGAGCACAGTATCTGGACATTTCTAATTAGAAGCAGGAAATGTTTATTCACTTTTGATTGGGTGGGACTGCCTGTAATTCTGGGCACTTTTAAACAAACTATTTAAGCATCCTGTTTAAATTTGGTTTCAGAAAAAAAAAGTACAAGTTGAGGTAGACTCTTGGACACTTATGTAAGCTGCATTCCTTGTACAAAAACAAATGTACCCAAATGTTCAACTGTGTCAGCAGCGATAGGCATCGTCTTAGTTTAAGGTTATCTGCGCTTGTTTCCTCTCTTTCCCAAAAAGTCAGTATTGAAAAGCATTTTAATTAGCCTCAGGGGAAGCAAATTAATTAGCTATTCCTATTAAATACTTATTTCCAAGCACAGCAAACTTCACTTACATTGGCATGTTGTTGTTTGTAGTTTGTGGTTTGCATTGTTTATTTTCCATCTTTTGTCAAGTGCCTTTGGAATAAACGTTTAGCAAATTGAATGAATGCATATTAAATGTATAGAGGAAAAAAACTGCATAGCTAACATTTTAAAAACTGCAGAACACTAAATAAGCATGTAATCTTTCTTGTCAGTTTTTTTTTACATTTTGCTGCCATGTTAGATTAAATCTTTCTTTTTTTGCACCTTAGAAAAATTCATTTCCCTCAGATAACCTGCCAATTCATATCCAGTATAGGCCTGTTTGTATTGGGTTGCACCCCTTCTTTGGATGGGGACTGAGTGTCTGCCAGCAGGCTTCCTCTTGCCCTCTTTAGATAAAGGGAGGTAACTTCTTTGTTTTCCAGCAGTTTGGAAACCTGGCGAGATGAATGAAGCTGTGCTTGAACATGGACTTCCACCAAAAGCCTGGAAAGCCTGAAAGGCTTTTCATGCTGTTTCCAAGCTCATGAACACACATTAATCAGTGAACTAAACAATGACTTCCAAAACTTTTTTGACATAAGGTCAGTGTCTAGCTCCTAAAGTGTGCGGAAGGCTTCCACCAGGATAGACATACTGTACTTACGGATCATTTGGAAATGGCAAGTGGTAGTTAGGACTAACATCACAATACCTTAGATGGATGTTTAAGTTGCTTTATTCTCCTTTTAAGGTTATAGGTTTAATCCAGATCAAATCTGCTGGATTCTGAAAATTAAGGATCTTAAAAAGGAGTCATCTAAGTGACCTTGGTAGGCTTTTCAGGATTTTTCAGTTTCCTATGCATTGAATTACATACTGTGGCATTCAACAAATTATATCTCCATTCTAGCTCCCTTTTGTTTATAAGTTACACTATGAGAGCAGATAGTATAATATACTTTTATTATTTTCCTGTCAGATTCAATAGTTAGAAACATAAGACAATTCACAAATGAGAAGTGGCATGTGGCCTGTTTAGCTTATTTGGTCATCAGTAGCCAACTAATCTGAATATCTTTGAAGATACTGGGGTTATCAGTTTTAACATGACCGTGGTCTTTAACAACATGGTGGTGTTACAAACTCCTACAGCCCTTTGTTTGTTTCAAAAGTTTTAAATGCTTTATCATATATTTTTTCACATTTCACTTCTGACTCTGAAGAAGTTCATTGGGTTGACTTTGTCAGTGATTTTAAAAATTCTGAATCAGTTCCTTTAATAATCTACTCATTGTGTTCTTTACTAGAAAGAAGCGATAAGATTTTTATAATGTGAATGCAATATTCTAAATGAGCTTTTAATAGTGTATGGTATGCTCTCTTGTTCATGAATGATGTCTTAATCTCACTGTTTGCAATCTTACAGTGCCCTTAGATCACTGACCCAATGAAACTGAACTGAAAATTCATACTTGTCATGAACAACTCCATAAAACATGAGTTATTAACACCTTTGATTATCCCTTTAACTAAAATCCAACAAAGATAAATCTACAAGGTGGTAAAAAGGAAGTAACCCACAGAAGATCATCATTGCTGAGGACGGTGTCTCAACAAGACTTTTTTTTCAAAATCAAAATGTTTTTAATTTTCTACCTGTTTCAACTGGATATCAATAAATCAAAAATTAAAAATAAGAGGCACTGTACACTGTATGTTGTTGTTACCTACAGTATACTATATGTAACAAGCTGCACATGTAAACAAATATCCGTCTGACAGGTGTTTGCCGAGTCTCACATTTAGATTAAACGTTTTGGAATTTCCTTCCCATGTTCTGCAGCGTTTGCTAAATCTCCTATTTTGTCATTATCTGCCAGCAGTTAGAATCCATTACTGCTGTTGGTTATTCAACAAACAGTGAGACAGGACCTACCTGTGTTTGGTTTGTGTTTTATTTATTGCATTCCATAGTTCTTTATAGGATTTTTTTTAAGGAAAGATGTTTTCACCAGCAAACCATTGTACAGCAGTGATTCATTTGTAAATGTACTGTAAGTTAATGCTGTAATTAGAAGTGCTTGACCCTCATTAGTCTGGATGATGAAAGCTTTACTGTAACAGTGACAACTTTCCTTACTCAACCAGAAGTCAGACAGCCCCCACACCCTGCATTGCCCAATGCATATCCTGCAATGAGTTCTACTGTATATGTTTACTCCTACGGGTCAAATGGAAGCTTGTTTTCTAGGGATTGTGATGTCACCACACTCTTAAAACACACCATAAAACGCTTATCAATTAAAACTTACCATATGAAAACATTTTGATTCGTCCTTCCTTTTCCTAGTGAAATGTATTTGTTTCCAGAGTTTTTTCTTTGTTTTTAGATTAGGTTGTGTTGAATTGTTATTTAAAATGAAAAAAGTAAAAAAAAAAGAAAAGAGTTAAGATGTTACAAATTATTGGTTTGTTAAGAGTTATAAATCATTGGTAAACCATATTTCTTAACTCTGTGTCTATTACTATTAAGAGAAGTAAAAATGCTTGTTTTATACATTAAACTCCTGGAAATCTAAAACTTATACTTTATATACTTTATACTGATACTTGATTTTTGCTCTCGACAAACCTCACTAATACCAAAAAAGAGTTGTCTGTCTTTGTTTTTAGAGTATACTGATATATTACTGTGTAGCTGTAACAAAAGATGCTATGAAGACTGACCGAATTGTAATTTATTTTTTATTAAAAGCCATGTTTTTTTCTTTGATATCCAATGATTTATTATTTTTTACTTGCTGTCAAAAAATGTAATATAATATATGAGTTACTGTAAAACGGAACAAAAAACACAAAAATACAAAAATTCACAAAACGAAGGTTAGAGTACAATGATAATAGCCACCCAAACTGTAAGAGACACCAGGCAGGGTGCAGTAAGAACTACTGAAATGTATTTGTGCACCTAATTATTATACTTAATCAGCTGAAACAAGACAAAATGAAGCAAGAAGCTGTTTCGGCTGAGGTGCGTTGCGCTCCAGAGAGCTCTACAGGGTCGGAGCGAGAAAGAGGTGCTCGCTGACGTGCTCCGTCTGTCCCTGCCTGTCTCCCTGTCACAGGACCGCCTCTTCTTTGTCATGGAGTACGTGAACGGCGGGGACCTGATGTTCCAGATCCAGCGCTCTCGCAAGTTTGACGAGGCTCGTTCCCGGTTCTACGCTGCTGAGGTCACCTCGGCGCTGATGTTCCTCCACCAGCACGGTGTCATCTACAGGTACGGCATCAGTCCGGGAGCTGATGAGGCTACCCAGACCTCTCTCAGGAACTCTTCTTTGTCTCTTAGCAACAGGGGCCTTGGGTAACGTTGACTTTTTTTTGCAGTTCGCTTGCACAGGGCTTTCCTGGCATTTGGGTTTTTTTTTGGTTTCAGTTTGGCTGACTGTCTTGCACGGTGTTTGCATATGAATGATCCTTGGGGAGGTAGCCAGTACTGGGTGCCAATTTGAGAGGACTGAATGGATACAGTTTCTCTCGACACAGACTGCTTGCTGCCTAGTGTTCATCTCCTCCCAGATTAATGGCATCCTTCAGCTCCTTCCTCCACTTCCTTCTTGTAGTACTGTGACCCAGAATGCTTGGCAACCCTTCCCCTTCTCTCCTCGTGTAAGTCTACATTTAGGTATCTGGTTCCTTTGCAAACCCAGCTGGGCCCTGGTGTGTCCACACTGCCCTTGCTGGCCTCTTCACAGGAAGTAGCTTATTTGCTGATGGACGTTAAATCATGGTCCCTTGAAGAAGGCCCATCTGACTGAAACCCAAAATAAATGCAATCTTCTCTACTCTCAGTTGCACTCGAGACAAGCTGGAACTTTAAGACACACGTTGCGACACTGAATTAATATCTAAACATTATTAGCATCCAGTTAAATCCCACAGTTTGTCTGAAAGTCAGGAGCACCTGAATTAAATCCTTTATACCATGTACAATTTGTGATTCATTTTTTAGGTATCTAACTAATTTAATATAAAAAGAGAGGAAAGTTTTAGTATTTATGCTATATGACCTACAAGTTCAGTGGCACTGTTTGTGAAACTTTTGCATCATGGGAGATGGTACACAGACTCTCTGGTGTTTGCATAACTAACCTAGAATGCACTCAGCAGAAGTTTGTATGTGTATGTTTGACAATTTACAGTATTTTCATATCCAACAGCCCAGTTCTGTGAGCACATTCTGTTTATCTTCTTTCATTGTATAAATCCTAAAACTTAAACTAGCTGTTGATCCCCTGAAGGTCGTGATTCCAAACAGTCCTGCTCAGCGTATTAAAGTTCTCATGAAATGCAGGATGTACATAAAGAGGTTGTATAATCCATGTATTAAAAAGTTGAAATATAAACAATTTGTGTTATTGAGAAGATAATCTCTTCAAAATGTATTGTACTGTCATAGAAACCACAAATTCTTGTTACTTTTCATTCAGTATGCAGTTGTACATTGTTTTTTGAGTTAGATACAGTGGCAATGTGCTTTAGGTAGGTTTAATTTGATAATCAACGACAGATAATCCTCACAAGCCATCAATCTGAAAGGTCAATATCTTAATATAAATAAGATATTTTTATTGACATATTACATTAGCTCATATACTCATAAAAATGTTCTTTGTGGCTAAGTGATGGTTTCCATAGAGTTACAAAGAATTTCATATTAAAAGAAACATTTAATCCTTACATAACATATCTCGATAGAAAATTAAGAATTTTTTTATTATTAATTTAACTTGCAATTGTGAAGACTTAACATGTGTTCTGGTAAACAAGAATCCTCTGAGATATTAAAGTGATGATCCCAAAAGACCTATGAACATCGTCAGTCTAACTACATACACTATAGTGTATGTCGAATTAGACCCAGATATAGAGGGTGGAAACAGCTGTAAAGGCTAATGTTCTACCTCTGAGTCACCTGTGCAAATAAATAAAAAGATGGAAACAAGCCTGTTGATTTTCTGGGAAGGAAAGTTGGAGTATTATAGACTTCCTCTTCCTTCTAGTGTGCCGAAATATTCAGAATCTCCCAAGTGACTCACATCGAACTACCTGTGATACTCCTCCAATCAGCATTGACTTGCCTACTTGTTGCCACGGGGCTTGTAAAATGCCACAATGGTAGTGATTTAGCGAGTGAGTGGGTGGGTCAGAGGAATCTGTCTGCCTGCACATTCTCATTGGAGATATTAGCTGTGACTTGCGATGTAAAGACAAAACAGCCATTTCTAAATTCCAATGGGAATATAATAAAAAATATTGGCTAATTTTATATTTCTGTGAAAGCTTTTCTTGTTGTAGTTTCTTAAATGCTATTTTATAAACCGGTTATCTTGGAGTCATTTTTATTTGAACATTCTGTATACTGTATGTTTTATATTTCTCACACTTTCTGGCACAGAATTGTTTTTGCCTGCTAAAAACTGAAGTCTGGACAAAGATCACTGTTGTTAAATATATCTTAAAGATGCAAAAATGTTGTGGAAAATAGGCCACTAAGAGTAATTCCTGCCATCTTTGTGTTTTCATTAATACCCCCCCAAAAAAAACCATTGCGCTCAGACGGATATGTCTGCTGTTTGTACTTTGTTTATTTTATCCCCACCTAAAGCCTTTGAGAAAACCTTAAACAATTGCTTATGAGACTGCCTGAACCTGGAAAAACACGGGATAGAGCACGTTACATGATCCAAGCAAATTCTTGGAACTCCTACTGAAGAGAACCCTGAAACAAGAGGAACAGGCAGTTTCCCCAGCACGGTGTCTCTCCCTGAAGGAGGGAGGGGGACAAGGAGACTGAGGAGCAGATTGAGAAGACCCTAGCGTGTTACAAGTGTGATGGAACGACAAGGAGCAGACTGAATAACATCAGCACTGGTAGTCTGCCCGTGTGTGTGGAGAGGCATTAAAAACACCAATAGTTGTAACCAATACCCGATATATATACTTTATCATTCTGGCAAGGAAGCACTGTTGGAAAATGTCAAACTCAGTTTTTTTAGGGTTGTTCACTCTGATATGCTGTATTTTTCTTTATGGAGATTTTTTTTTATTTGTAACTGGAAGTCTATGAACAGTATAAGACTCACTGAATTTTTTTTCATCGGCCATTCTCAAGATATCAGTGGCCTGAATGATACTTCTCCAAAAGAGGTGGTGACTGTTATAGCTGAGGGGTCAGTGGACCAGCTGGGTCTTGACCATACACTCGCATAGCACCGTGACCTTGCAGAGGGTGCTGTGAGCTGTGTGAGGCACCGTTCCACAGGAAGAGCTATTGAACGTACAAAAGGTTATGGCTTGCTGTGTTGTTCTGTACTTTGCAAGTATGGATTTCCCCAGATTGTCTTGCTGTTTGCTTGGGAGAATATCCAGGTGAAACCAGGCAAATACAACCTGTGTAATCAATGCTGCCGATAAAGATTAAATTGTTTCACACGAGGAATAATGTTCTAGCAGAATGACAAGGTCTGTCAGTTACTACACTAGGAATCTGAGTTGATTCTCCACGTTAAAACGATTATTTTTGCTTTTGCTGACAATTCTAGGGAAAATCGAGAGAGAAAGAGAAAACTGGTAAAATGGCTAAAGGTTCAGTTAGTCATAGTGGACAACTAATCTCCCTTGGAGAAAATCAAAGGCGGTGTTAATATGCACATGCAGTATACGCCTGCTGAAAAGTAATAGAGACAATCTTCTCTTCATGAACTTACCTTTATGTGACCCTGTAATCAAAATACCAGCTTCAAAAACAGCTTTTAGAACACCATGTTCAGCCCCCACCTCATATGGTTTTTTTTAAAAAGTGGCAATCCGATCCGGTTCTGAGAGCGTGTTTAAGCTTGTCATGGTGTAGATTAGCTTTCAACCCCTATGCGAGGGCAAACAATTAAAAGGTACTGTGAATTCAAAAGGTAACTGTCTGCAGAATGAAGCTAGTGCCAGCTGTGAATGTTCCACAAAGATTGTTTTCCAGGAATCCCTTAGGCCTCCGAGATTCATCCAATCCTGGTTTCAGGGGTATTGGCCCTGAACTGATCTCTTGCCCTGTTTAGAATTAAGTTATAGAAATAAATATCTTTAGGCATGGCTGAATAAGAAGAGGAAGCATCTTTTCATTGCTCTGTAATGGTTCCACCAGACTTGGCATGAGAGGCTCTCTCTTATGGTGGCATGTTATTCAAGATCACTTTATTGGCCATATACAATTTCTTGTATTATGAATTTGTCTTTTCGCATACTCCAACTTGCTCTCCATGAGACACGCAGACAGGGAGAGAAGCCTGGGGTCAGAGCGCAGGGTCAGCCATTTATACATCGCCCCTGGAGCAGATGGGGTTAAGGACTTTGCTCAGGGACCCAACGGAGCAGGATTCCTCTGCCGGCCACGGGATACAAACTGGCAACCTTCCAGCCTCAGGCGCAGATGCTTAGCCACAGAGCCACCGCACCACACCGATATTAATCACATATTTGTAACAGAAGACATTTACAGATGGCAAAGGACATCTGCTAAGCAAATTAATAATCTGAGCATGTTTTCTGATGAAGATCTCTAAATGAGCGAACTGAAAGGTCAGTCAGAAAATATTATGTATTTGGTGTGAATTCATTCCCAAAAATAAAATCTGTGTAATTCAGCATTGGTTCTTACGCATGAGCAAATACACTAAAAATTGCTGTTTTACTTTTCTGAAAAAGAGAGTTGATCACCATGATCACCTTTTATAAGCTGTCTTTTACATTTTCATTTAAAAACATACAGAAATTTAGAGAAATGTATTTTATATTTCTGTTTACAGTTCATGAATATAGATATAAGACTCTCAGCTATCGACCTCTTTCGTAAAAGGTTCTTAATGTGATAAGGTTCACTTTATCCAATGATAAACCCGCACTTTATCACAGGGAACCTCTTGCAAATGAAACCTTATGTAAAGTATATTTCAAAACTCAAGTTGTTGGACCTTAAACCAAAACAGAGAAGTTTCCATAGCACTATGGATTCTGAAATGTGAATTCTTCATTAGGAATGGCAAACTAAAACAAGCAAATGTTATTGTTTTGATTCTTTTTTGTTTTGGTTGAAGCTTTACTCCAGTGTTTTGAAAGGGTGGGCGATTGCTCTTATAGCGTGAATATAAGCATCAGAGCAAAATCACTGGATGAGAAGACAAAGCTCACACCAAGTAGTACCTGATAGCATAACTTAACTCCTTAGAC